TTAGCCATGAGCTGAGAATAGTTTTCACACTTTTAAATCAGTTTTTAAAAACGTCTAAGGAACATTTCATGTGAAAATTTTCCATGTCCCTACGTGAACAGCTACCCTTGTTGATTTACATACTGTCTACAGCTGTCTACAGAAATCTTTGGACCACAGAATCTAAATATTTACTGTATGTTCTCATACAGAAAATATTGACCGTACAGAGCTCTCTCAAATGATCTCACTGAGAAGCCAGTGCAGTTTATTAAAGGAAATTAGAACATACAGATACATGAAGTCTGCGATTTCTCAGGATTCTCATTTTCACCTAAAATGTCTCTCTTGGAAATACAAGTTTAAAACACATTTGAACCACCTAAATAGTCAGAAAGATGGAGCAGGAAAGAGAAGCAAAATGGACCCTGTCTCACCCCTCCACGACCATCGTTTCCTTTACAGAAAAGTAACTGCTGATCTGAGTGTAAGTTTAACATCGAGAGTAGTTTCAGAAAATGATAAAAGCATATTGGTTGGGACTCAGGCCCACTCTAATAGTGTGGAAAGGGAGATTGCCAAGATGGTAGCCTTGCTGAAGAGAAGTTGCGTGACTGTCCAGCGCAGCTTCCTCCTCCCCGCTCCCCACATGGAGAGGGTTTCCCTCCATCACGTTCCCACACGTGGTAGACAAAGCTCAGTGAGGTATAAATGGGAAATGTTTGGATCTCTGCCCAACTGTCCTCATGAGCAGCTGCCTGCTTTCTCTTCCTGCCAGACACACACACACACACACACACACACACACACACACGTGCGTGCACGCACACACACACACACACACCACTGTAAGCAGATTTCATGACCTCCTGGGCACTTGTGTTGCTAAAGTAAGTTCAGTTTAGGCCTCTAATATCAATATCATGTGCAGTTCATAGCCTGCTCCTCCTTATCAGGACAAGCGAGGCCTTTTCTCTGATACCCCCTGAAGGAGCCAGGGTCTGAGTTGGAGCTGGACACCCCTCCCTGCCCTAGAGGCCAGCGCCCTTACTGTGTTGGCCCTCGGAGGAAGGCAAGGCCAGGGTCTCTTACCTCACTGGCCCCTGCTGGCACTTCCCCCGTTGGTCATCCATTCCCCTAAGGAGCACCAGGTCCCCTGATGGCCTCCTTCTTTGGAATAGGCATTCAAGGGTGGGCTTTCTCAAGGGATGTAAGACAGTGTGATCGAGAAACACAGTGGATGTTTAAATTTTTAAAAATATGTATTACTGCAAAAGACACATTGCCATTAAATCCCTTCAAAATGCTCCCATTACTTTGAAAAAAAAAATCCCATGATTCTTACCATTTTCTGAAGCAGTTTTGGAAATCTGCTTTCATTTGTGTTTTCAATTGTGCTGTTGGGGCTGCCTTGATGTCCTGAATAGATTCAAAACGTACCCCTTTCATGGTCATTTTCTCCATGTGGAAGAGCCAGAAGTTTCCCAGTGGCAGACCCAGTGAATGAGGTTAGTAAGAACACGTCTTCACAGTTTTACAAATCTGCCGTGCTTCAGGTGGCACTGGGCACCCATACACTGTATTTTGGATCATACCTGGTAAAGACACTCAGGAAAGAGGACTTTCAGAACTGCTTCAGAAAGGGCCAAGAAGGATGAGATTGCTATGTTCAAAGTGACAGGAAGTACTTTGAATGGGATTCATGACAGTTGTCTTTTACTGTAATATTTATGTAAATAATCACTATATATTTCAGTGGCACCTATGTCTCTGGGTGGGAGTAGCCCCAGCCTTACTGTGGGGCACCTCACCCAGCCCCACTGCACTTTGAGGTGAGCCTTGGCAAGTTGGCTCCAACCCAGCCACCCCAGCAGCAGTGTCCACTTGACTCCTGAGAAGGAGGTATCTTCTCACCATGCACCAAGCAGTGGTAGAGCCTGAGGCCGCCATGTCTGGCTAGGTGGTTCTCTCTTGCCAAGGGTAGGCCTCACGCTCATCCTCACCAGCTCCCGCTGTGCTTCTGCAAATGTCTCCACTCCTGCCGTACCTGATACCTTTCGGAGCTCTAGTCAACTTCCGGGTTGGATTCTACTTGAAGTACAGGTTCATCTGAGAGGCCACCATGAGTCCTGAGGCTCTACACTGACTCAGGAGCCTCAGCTATGCTTCTTCATAAAACCCATTATTTACCTGCCCGATGAGCATCACCACTGTAATTTTGCAGAAATTTAAGTCATTATCTATTCTCCTGCAGCAGACTGTAATTTCCTCGGGGCAACAATTGTGTCCGCCTTACTCCCCAGCACAGGACCTGCTGAGAGTATTGCTCAGCACATCCTCAGAAATGCATTTGAGAAAAGAAATGTTGTAATTAAATGCATTTTTCTTTCATCTAACAAGTCCAGGTTCCCATGTGGATATCTTTAGAATATTTTTGAATTTCTGGAGTGTTTATTCTTTCAAAGTAATGAAATATCGTGTGTTAAATTCTTATTGTTTAAGTACCAGGTGAAATGAGGTAGCAATAGGATAAAAGCGTCCAGTGTAGTTGCTGTTGCCCAGTGAAAATTTACTGTGCTGCATGGGTCAAATCAGTTCAACAAATATTTGTTGAGTGTCTGCAAGGAACCAGAACACTGTTACTAAGAGTGGGAAACGAAAGACATCTAGGGGGAAAGCACTGCTAGGAGTTAGCTGAGCACAAATTGTGATTCCGTTTCCCAGTTTTGATTTTTCTTTCTTCTTCCTTCCTGCATTCTCCTCTCTTGTCTTCTTCTCCCTCTCTGCTTGCATTCCTGCCTGCCCACTTGTCTACCTGCCTTTCTTCTCCTTCCTCTGTAATAATCCAGATTCTATTCATTTACTTCCAGTAAAACTGACTCGAGAGCAATCTGGGGGGAGTGGTTTGGTGTGATTGTTTTTCTCCCTGAAGAAGAGAATTCACAGAAGTCCTTGTACTATGTGGACTTAATTTTAAAGCCTGGACTTCCGTACACATTTAGGACCGTGTGGGGTCATCTGAGACCCCGTGTGCATTGCTCAGGAAGCTGTACTGGCAGCACAGAATCAAAGATGACATGTTGTTTCTTTGCATACATGTGTGCACCACCGTAGCTTTTAAGAACCACTGATACATGGAACAGTTGTTTTCTTTTGTTTTGTTTTTTGTCTTGTTGAGACAGGGTCTTGCTATGCAGTTCAGGCTGGCCTTGAGCTCACTTGGTAGCCCAGGCTGGCTTCGAACTCACAATGATCCTTCTGCCTCAGCCTTTCGAGTGCTGGATTTATAAGCATGCAGCACTACATCCGGCGGGAAAATTGGATTTGGTAAGAACCCACGTTTACTGACTACAGGGTTGCCATACAGTCATGTACCTGAATGCTTCTGTTGGTGACCCTGTGATTTACAGCTTCCCTGGGATCATAGTGGTCTCCCTGCATGCTGTGATCTGCCTTCCGCTGTTTTCTGTTCATCCAGCATTCTGAGAACCATTCAAAGACTGGAAAGAGAGTGATCATTTGTTTCCTCTGCTCTCATCCAGTTTTAAGCTCCACAAACAGCACAGAAAACTTAACTTCTGTGGAAAACTTCTTTTCCTGAAGTGGGCAACCACCTAGTGGAGAAAATGGGAAAGGTAGGCTCTGATGGTAGAATTTTACCCTTAGGTCCCGGAGACCCCTCCCTCAGGAACCAGAATATCAGCAGGCAAGTAATTAGATGTTGTGTCACTGCCACGGAACGCAGAGGACCAAAGGGACAGTTCAGTGACTGGACAAGTTTTTTAGCTGATGACTTTCTATGTGTGTTTGAGGAAGTTCTCCCAACTGCCTTAAATTAAGGCAAATATAATGCAGGATTACTAGAGAATCAAAAGAGGATATAAATCTCCCCAGTAGTCAAGAACTAGACATTTCAATTGTGTTCTTGCCCTTGCCCTTACCTTGCCGAGACTGACCTGCCTGTGATCCAGAGGGACACCCTCCTCTTGAGATATCTCCTCATGAGATATCTCATGTCTCCCATTAGGAAGGCATTTGTCATATTCATCCAGGAAGCCAGGTACAATGTAGTTCTAAACCCTTGAATTGATGAAGAATTTGAGAATGTTCTGCTGCATTCTAAAATCTGAATTAATAGGATGTTAAATCTGGAAATGACTTGAGAAACTAGGAATCCCATTGCTTGTTCGTTTGTTGTTTTTATTAGGACTGAGGACTGAACCCAGGGCACTTCCCAGTACACTACAGCTCCAGCCGTGTTCTCTTTTTACTTTTGAAACAAGGTCTCCTTACGTCACTAAGTTGCGCAGGCGGGGCTCAAACTTGTGATCCTCCTACTTCAGCCTTCCAGAGTCCTGGGATTGCAGGGATGCATCTCCAAGCCTGGCTTTATTGCTTTATGTTGTGCGTGAAAAGAACAAAAGCCCTGAGAGGCTAGATCACTTGTTGGCTAGATCACTTGCTGACCGCAGCACACTTCTCTTCTCTGGTAGCTAGCTTTTCTCTCTGTGATTCTTAAAAAGAGAAAATCACATCGTGTCTGAACTACAGATTAATTTGAAAGGTGCTTTCAGTTTTCATAGTACTTGTTATAGATTTGTACGTGCATATGTGTGTGCCATGGGTGTAAGAGTTGCAGGACACTTCTACCATCCTTTAACCTTGATCCACCCCACACCCCCTTGGCAGATGAGCATTAGTGGAGGCCCAGAGGAGTCAAGGTTGCCTCACCCTGTTTTACAGTTGTCTGGTTGCAGAATTCAGAAATGAACTCAGCTCTTCAGATTCCGATCTTCGTACTTTTGCTGGAACATCAGACTTCCTTTCCATAGTATCATCCCTCCTGGCTAGGAAGCATTCAAACCCAGTGAGCAAGAGCAAATTTTTGTAGATAGATACTTCGGTCAGGTAATAACCTGACCAGGTAATAATCTCAGGATTTATGATTCGGCCATGTATCTTCCATTGCCTATGAAATGAGTAATACATTTCCATCTTACCCTTTCTTTTCCCCACCCCAGCATATCAATAATGACCATATCCATGGTGAGAAGAAAGAGTTTGTGTGCCGGTGGCTCGATTGCTCCAGGGAGCAGAAACCCTTCAAAGCCCAGTACATGTTGGTGGTGCATATGAGGAGACATACTGGCGAGAAGCCTCACAAATGCACTGTGAGTATGCACGTGGACACTGGTCCTCGGGGCCTCAGGTGCACCCATGGGTGTTGGGCTTCACCTGTGGGTCCTTCTGTATGCACTTCAGAGTTATGAGTGCTCGGGACTCCAGTTTAGTGGAAGCATGGCTGGATGGAGTCCAGAAGAAGAATGCAGTACTGTCTAGTGGTAACTGCCCAGGTTTTTTAACTTAACTAGTTAGACAGGACAACTCTACAGAGCGGTGCATGGCCAACAGGTAACCGGCACAAGGGAACAGCTCATAGCAGCCCGCCTTGCCTCAGCCCAGCAGCTCATTGTAGACAAGGATCCAGCAGGCAAAGGAACGTGCCAGCCTCCTGCTTTTGTTTAAGTTGACTTTTTAGAAACCTGATCTGTGCACAAGTTGAGCACTCCGAATTTTAAAAAATCTGCGCCAAGTATGATGGGGAAGGCTTGCAAAATTCCAGCACTCTGGAAAGCTGAAGCAAGATGATCAAAAGTTTGAGCTTAGCCTGAGCAACTTAGGGACTCAAAATAAAAAAAGATAATAAAGGTTGGAGATGTGGGACGTAACTCAGTGCAAAGGTCCTGAGTTCAATTCCTAGTACTTAAAAAAAGGAAAATCTACAAAATCTGAGACTTTTTGAGTGCTGGCCTGATTCTACAAATGGAAAATCCCACACCAAGTACCATATGACAGGTTACAGTCAAAACGTAGACATAGTAAAAACATTATATGAAATTACCTGCAAGCTATGTGTATAAGGTGTATAGGAGACATAAAGGCATTTCATGATTAGACTTGGCTTTTGTCCCTGGAATATCTCATTATGTATGTGCAAAATAATCCAGAATTTAAAAAATAAACCAAGATGCTTCTGATCTCAAACATCTTAATCGAAGGAACTCAATCTGCGTCCTTCGTTCCTTCCTGGCCTGCCAAGGGGGCTAGGGCTGCCAGAGGCCGAGCCTTCTCCCACCCAGGTGCCACAAGGCACACTGGGCACTGCTTGGCCCTGGTACTTTACATCTTAAAGGCCCTTCACAAACGTGATCAAATCCCTGTCTTTGTGTGGACACAAAGCCATATTAATGAACTTTGTGCTGAATCTGAAATCAGTGGGAATTCGAGGCGATCAATGAGCAGATAATGAAACCCATTGTCCACATTGAGCGACCTATTAAAAAAAAAAAAAACTTCAGAACTTTTAGTGGCGCTGAAAAATGCTTTATCTTGAACGGCCCCGAGCCACATCTGAATCCCAATAAATGCAGAGTTTAGTGGAGGTTTTTGTTCAGTGGTTTTCAAAAGCTGCTGACCCTTTCCATGTGAGGTTTTTATCCCCTTGGACGGCGGGTTAGGCATAAGTGGCGGCAGGGGCTATTGTGTGGAGTAATCCAGATTTACCTGTTGTCCACAGTTTGAAGGTTGCACAAAAGCCTACTCGAGACTAGAAAACTTGAAAACACACTTGAGATCTCACACTGGAGAGAAACCGTATGTCTGTGAGCACGAAGGTTGCAACAAGGCATTCTCAAATGCCTCAGATCGCGCCAAGCACCAAAACAGAACACATTCCAACGAGGTAAGCATTCTCTCAGGGCCCAGGGACCCTCCAGGCTACTGTCCCTGGACAGGCAGGCATGTTCTGTTTTATTATTTTGTTGGCCCCTTCCCAGAATGAGTAGGCTTTGACCCCGCAGGCAAAAGGCTTGAGCCTCAGAAGTGGGGCTGAGAATCAGGCCTCTTTTGGAGGGTTAATTCAGATGAAAAGGGAATTTTCTAAAACTCCCTGTGAACTTGGTTTGATATTATTGGGAAGCGCCACCTACTGGTCGGAAGAGAGGAGTACTGACTTGAAATCCCATCCCCTTGCACTGCCCGGAGAGGCATAAATCCAAGTGCACACAGAGCGGATGGCCAAAGCACACTGGCAGGTGGCAGGCAGCTCACTGCAAAAACAGCCTCTCGTATTTTGCTTTCGCCAAGTGGCATCTCGAATGCATTCTATCAAGAACATATTTACAGAGCAATCGGCTGTGGCTTAAAAACATTTTCCAGTCGTTCTAAATCCCAAAGGATTTTGAGGATATTTAGAAACCTGGCTGATTACTGAGGGCTATCTGTGGAGGAAAACGTCCTGGTAGTGAGTGGCTGCTGCAGTGTTGCTGTTGTGCTAAAGCAGTTATGCCCTGCAAATTGCAGGGAAGCGTAAGAATGGAAGTAATTCTCAGTTCATTTCGCCTACACTTACTTTGCTTCCAGACCCCCAAATTCTTGCATGTCTGGCTCCAGAGCTGGCTTGTCTGGAAAGCCTTCACTTGAGTAATTGAGTAAGTAACACCAAGGATTCCCGTATTTGGGCTACAAATTGGGTGGCTAAATAGAGTTTTATTAATGCCACACGTAGTTCAGCTCTGCACGGTCTGTCCTCTGCGTGAACTGTGCAGGAGGAGCAGTTTGCACACATAAGACCTTTGAGAGGCCCTCAGGATCCCACCAGAAGCCTGCCAAGCCCATGCATGGATTTACAGATAGAACTGAGGGCAAGGGCACCTGGTAAAAACGAAGCAAGCCCTTGCGCTCAAGGCCCTTTGGCTGTAAGGGAAGATGGTCTTTACTCAGATAGAGCAAAACTCTCTCTACCAGGATCCACCACACTCACCACAAAGCACACTCGGACGAAACTCACACAAGCAAGTCTAGGTACACCCGCGCTTTTTGAAAAGATCCTGGTCAAATAAGGAAGCAGGAATCATTTGAAATGTATCATTATCGACCAATTGTTTGAAGACATTTCAGAGAAGATGCTTGTCCTATGTGCAAGAGCACTTTGCACTTGTTTCGTACAAAATTTTAGGGAGTCTAGAATAGGCACATCCTTAGAGACAGAAGGTAGATAAGTTTTTGCCAGCAGCTGGGGAGGGCAAGAATAGGAGTGACTGCTAATGGATACAAGGTTTTATTTGGGGATGATAAAAATGTGCTGGAATTAGATAGTGGTGATGATTACACAATATTAATGTACCAAGAGTTGCTGAATTGTGCAATTTAATAGACTTACTTTGCTTTGTGAATTGCAACTCAATTTCAAATTTTTAAGGGGCTTGATTAAATTTACTTACTAAATAATTACGATATTTTGTACATGTAAGTAACTAAAAGAGATATTCATTCTTCCAGATTGTAGGCCAACCTTCTGTCTTGTGGAGAAATTCAGATAGTGGATGTTAGGATTAGTGGTGCCCACGCATAAGGATACTTACAGAGCTTTTTATCTTTTTGTGGACTTAAAATATGTACCCATGTCTGTTTGCTTGAATTAAGCATATTACAGTTGAGCTTGTGATCTCCTATGAGGTAAAAATCACTGCTACATGAGGAGACTAAGTATTTTATGAGTTCAAAAGGTACCTTGATCAATACCATTTTTCACCAAGATTGAGGAATTTACTTACATTTTTTAACCTTGATCATAAACACATCGTTAAAATTTGACTCACAAGCTTAAGTCATTTTTCTTTGATGTATGCACAAAGTTTCAACCTTGCATATGAAAGGATGGACAGTTTCAGGTGCACAGAAGTTAAGTTTGTCCAGGAAATCCTGAGTTGCATAACAGTACCATCCTAGATATATCAAGAGACTGGCTTTCACATACTCGCTGTTTTATATGCACCTTCATTTATTCACTAGATGACTATTGACAGCTAGTTGTGCACCAGCTCTTTGCGAGCCTGGCTGTGGCAAAACACGTAACAGTATGCACCAGGAAGGGAACAGTTCCCTCCGAGGAAGTCATTCTGGCACTTCTCTGTCTCCTAGGCTGTCCTGCCCCTCTAGGGCCACTGGACTGTAGCAGTGGGTGGTGACAAGACTCCCTACTTCAGAAACGCTTGCTGTGGACTGTCATCCTGACATGTGTGACACGGTCCTCTGCTGGACCTTTGCTTGGGACAATTCTTATTTGCATCCTTTTGCCCTTATTTTTATCCCTCAGAATCAGCCTTCTCTCAGAGCCCCACTAAAATACCTCCTCCTAATAAAAGCTTGTTTATTGAGCGCTTCTGCGTGTCACACATCCTTTCTGGACGTGATCTTACTTGACACCTAGCACAGACTCAGAAGCTGAGCATTTGGTGTTTGAGCACCCCAGACACCAAAGTGTAATAGCTGACCCCTCCCAAGATCCCCCCAAGTGAAAGCCAGTTCCTCCTTTGCCCACATTCTCAGCAGTCACGCTTGATATTGTAGATAATTATATGGTGGTATGGTTGATATTGTAATTAATTATATGGTGGTATATTTTTCCTCCCAGAAAGTAAGATTTTATATATGTAAAATACAAAGATTACTTTAAGGGCTTTGTATTCTTTCAGATTAAATCCTGTCATGTACAACTTGGTGCTCACAAGCTCTTGCATAGATCGGGATCACTAAATGTTTATTGAAAAACATTGGAAAAATTCTACGAAGTCGAAAGACGTAGCAACTGCTTTCCTACAGGACTTATAAGTGCAGCGAGTCAGAGTGATAACAGTCGTGTCAAAAGTTGAATACCCAGGCAACTCAGTAAATCTGACATTTATTTTGGCCTGTAATTATATTTCATTGCAATCACGGGTCCTTGTTAATTTGAAAGCAAAGCTCCATAACAAAGATAATATGTTTTGCTGTGAAGTGCAACTGTGTTCCTGTAGATTTTTATAGGTGGAGACTGTGTGTTCACATGCAAAGGCATAGGGATACCAGTGTATCTGTCTGTGTGTGCTGTTGGTCTTGGACATGCAGGTGTTGACCAGTCTTTCTGTACTCACTACACACCAGCTGTGTCCTACACTCTAGGCTGATCTACGCTATTTACATGCATATATTTAAAGAAGAAGAGCCCTTCAAAATGCTCTGCAGTCCACCTCAAACCCCCTTGGCCCTCCCTATCCCCACCAACTGGCCCACACATTCCATTCTGCTTCTGGATGGGAGGCCTGTCACAGCAATGCCCAGAGCACACATAGGTCAGTGTCAACTTTGTAAAGTAATGACACTGAACATCCAGTGCCATTCTTTGTCCCTGATACATAGAATTTGATGTGCTTATTTCATTATGCATGTGTGTCTCTCTCTCTGTCACACACACACACACACACACACACATACACACACCCCAGAAAATCACACAAGCTTCTGAGTTGACCTAATTCAACTTAATGGGAGTCCGTTCTACCCAAAGGAATCTCAGATTTAGGGGTGAAGTCTTTCAGGATAATTTTCAGAATCTTTGCTTCGCTGCATTAGGCCATTTCAGCATTTTAGGTGCCACTCAGTCTGTTCTGGGGCTTTTACGGAAAAAGCATCTTTTAGACATACATTCCATAAGGCAGGACATACTTTAAAATATAGTAGAGACATTATACAAATCTTGCTTTTTATGAGGATTGCTTACTCAAAAAGCTCGTCTACTGGTATGCATAGATACAAATGTATACAGTCATTTCTTATATCTGCAAGAAATTATTTTCAGGACCCCTGCAGAGCCAAAATCTAAGAATACGTAAGTCCTTTAATGACATAGTATTTGCACATAACCTACACATACCCTTCTGTAAACTTTAGATCGTCTCTAGGGTACTCATAATATCTAGTGCAGTCTCAATGCTATGAAATTGCTGTCATACTTAAATTATTTAGGGAATAATGGCAGGACAGTCTTCATACAGAACTCAGTACAGCGGCAGAATTTTCAAAATATTTACAACCTGTGGTTGGTCAAGTAAGCTTTGGAGATAGAGGGCCAGTTAACTCATATAAGCACCCATGAATATATTATTTTGGAAGGCAAGTGAACAAAACCACAATTTTGGTGTTGTTCATGAGCAGAGGGCAACAGTTCTGTGATTTAAGTAAATATTTCATTATTGCTATATCTGGAGGATTCTTCACAGATGCTTATAGAAGATAAAATCAGCCTGAAATAATTTATAGATCTAGGGACTCATGAAAAGGCACAGATCACAAATCCTGGCTCCTGGCGCTCCCTCCAGGGGCCCTGAGCAGTGTATACTGTGCATTCACGGACATGTGGGTTACCCCCATGTCCCCCACACACACTTGTCATGCTACCTGGAGGAACACATTTTAGTGACATCTCACATGGGAAAGCCAATACGCAGTTTTTCTAGTATGCCTGTGTGCAAATAGCACATTTGCTAAGTGCAGAGTGACATTAGATCCGAGAACCAGGATATCCCTGTGAAATGTCTTTGCACACCCTCTCCTGAAAGGAAGGTGTACAGCATTCCCCTGATTAGATGATGGGGCTCTTTTAGGTCTTCATCCCTCATCAACATCATCACCATCACCACCACCACCACCATCATCATCATCACCACGATGGCTACCTCATGTATCTGTTGAACATCTAACATGCATCACACCAGATGCTTCTTTCCACTCAGAGCACAAATGCTCCCAAGAACATAAAGGCAATTTACACCTTCTTAGCTCCCCGGAGCGCTCTCTGTAATAATCATCTATTAAACTAGATTCTGTGGACCCTGAACAACATCTAAATGGCCTTATTAAGCTGTTAGTTCCTACAGGCATTTGAATCCCTCCAAGCTTTGTAAAAGTGTTTTTGAAAGAATTAAAAATGTAAGGAGCATAGGGCTGAGGCATAATCGCTTTTCTAACTCTGTTGTCTCACTCTTGTGGCATTTGGCAGAAACCGTATGTGTGCAAAATTCCAGGCTGCACAAAGCGCTACACGGACCCCAGCTCCCTCCGGAAGCATGTGAAGACTGTGCACGGCCCCGAGGCGCATGTCACCAAGAAGCAGCGAGGGGACATGCACCCGCGGCCCCCACCCCCCAGAGATTCTGGCAGCCATTCCCAGTCCAGGTCCCCTGGCCGGCCGACTCAGGGAGCCCTTGGGGAGCAGAAAGACCTCAGCACCACTACCTCAAAGCGGGAAGAATGCCTCCAGGTGAAGACCGTCAAGGCCGAGAAGCCCATGGTATGTCATTCACTCTCCCGATTTTCCACAGCCAGCCCAGGGTCATTTAAACGAGCCCAGCAGGGCATTTAGAGGGACAAGAAACCCCCATCCTCACTGCATCAGGCCACTCCAACTCAGGGAGATCCTGAGCTGGGTCACACTCTGCAAATTGATGAGTTTAGGACAACGCCTAAAAAAGGAAAAGAATTGCCAGCGTTTCTCATTTATTTTAAAACTGATCAATGCATCCAAATGTGTAGAAAATCACTCACTGAGTCTTTCCATGAACGTGTTTTCTGGCTTCTTTGCCTGGTGACCCCAAGATAAATAAGTTATAGTCTTTATTCTGTAGGGATTTACAGTCCAGTGGGATAGATGAAAAAAACTGACACCATGCAGGGTGGCAGTGGCTCAAAGACACGCATGTGCGAGGAGCACGCGAGAGAACGGACTGCTCTCAGGGCCAGAGGCTACAAGGCCAGCAGAGCAGGGAGGAGGGCAGGCAGAGAGGCCCCAGCCCAGGGGTATGACCTGTGGGGCACACAGGACAGCAGGGCTTAGGACAGGGAAGGGCAAATTTACTGCGGATGGGGGAGGGCCCCGCAGGGTAGAATTTTAGATAGAACACAGTGTCAGATTTGAGATTACAAAACTGGAGACCATTTCTGCATTTGTGCCTGAACCCAAGAGGTGGAGAACAAAGAAGGTTTTTTAAAAATTCTTGTAGGTTAACACTGATTTGGTTTGGATTGTTCTGCTCTTCCAGCAGCTTGCAAATTGCACTTGATGATTTTGCTTCATGTATGTGCTCTGATCAGACACCTAAGGATTTCAGAGGACAGCAAGAAAAATTAAAGAAATTGATATGAGAGGAGGTGGAGTATGTTTCTCTTTGGTCACGTGTACTATGGATTTAACTGAGTGAGCACATTGGGACCTAGTCCGCCACTCTCATCTTTGAGGGAATGTGCCGGATAGTAGTTGAGTGATTAGATTTCTGGGCACACAGAAAAACTTGGACAGGCAGATTTATACTCAGTTAAGGAAGCAAGTTCTTGAAATCAGAGCAGTCTCAGCCCCAAGACTGGCATTCTTTGAATTCCTGCATGATGACGTCGATGCCAGGAGGCCTGTGTGAACAGGAAGTCATGCACATGCCCTTTTGCATTAGCACAGTGAGAAGCTGCATTTGAACAGTTTACTGGGTTTATCTTTGAACTCTTAGAGTCTTACAAAGTGACGTGAATTCCAGCCAAAAATAATGCAAATAAGCTGTCCAGCATCATCCTTAATTCTTACTGTGTAGCTGTACTTTGCTTTTATAAAGCATCTTACTCAAATGTTTATATATTTCGATTGATCACTGTATTTTTAAATTATTCAGTTCATAAACGGTGTTTTATGTATTTTTGGAGGTGGCCATGTATCTATTGACTAAAACAAAATCCTGTTGTGTAATAGTTGTGCAGAACATTCAACAGTTTATTCTCAAGTGTTGAATGAAAAAGGGAAAATGAATTTGAGGTCTTCTAGATTATGTCAGGAAAAGATTGTGGCTTACTTTCATGGAACCCGCAGTCTCTTGTTTCTTTAATGTGTATCCCTAGCTCAAGAAAATTTACTCTTTTTTTTCTATTCTCTAAGAAGAAAATTGATAGAAATAAAAATTTATAGTGATCTGACGCAGTGACAATTGAGATGTCTGAAATATTTTTCTAAACTAATCAAATCATAGAAAGAAAATACTAAAGGAGATCACAGAGCCAAGACTGGGCCCTCTATTTTCCTGAAATCCAAGTTCCCCAAGTTTATACTGTTACGTGCGTTTATGTACTCACACATTTAAGTATAAGTAGATACCTTCATAGACTTTACTAATGACCATTGAAATTTACATTTCTAATATTCTTTCTTTAAAAACATGTCTTTAATTTGATCACCCTGCTATAAATTAAATTCTTTCTTCTTTTTTCTTATTGCAACATCTCTTCTGTCTAATGCTCCTAAATGTCTTGTTCTCACTTCCTAAGGACAGTGGGTAATAAGGTGAGGGAATGTTGTCTTTGCTGTTCTTTTTGTTTTATTTTGTTTGCATTTTAGCATTGAACATTTTTTTTTTTCCACTTCATTTTCTTTAGATTTTGTGGCTTTGTGACATCTTTGGTAGTGAACATTACGCGGCCATGTTTCAAATGTAAAAGCAGTGTGTTTTGAACGTTCAGCATGTGGAAAATGTAGTTAGAGGATGAAATTCATTGTTCTGTTTGTGTAGGTTTTCATGATAGATCACACTGGGGTTGACCAAGCAGACCATCTCAAATTTCGTTAATTTACTGGTATAAATTCATACTTCGACCAGATATCCTCCACCTTCTTTGAGGAAGATCTAAATATATTTGCTGTGAGCAAGTTAATCTCTATTTAAATGTGTGAGCTCACTGAAGCAGTTTTCTAGTTGTAGGTATATGGATACCTTCTTACACTTCCTACAGAAGTGTATGTCTACACATGTGTGTGGTCATATATACAAATTCATACTCATACACATCCGGAATTGACATTCCAGGAATGTAAGACGTCTCAAACTCTGGAAACTCTAAGTGCCTAAGGAAGGGGAAAGTAGCCTGCAACCCAGGCCTCTGCTGAGGCAAAAAACTCAGCTTCACAAATGCAAGATTTGCCTGTTTTCCCTTGCTCTGTTTGGTTGCCCAGGATGAAGTTAGTATCCCATGGGGCTCTCACTTAGAAAGTGTTGCTTGACTATGCCCAGTGACAGGAGAAAAGGTATAAAGGGTTCCACAAGGAAGCCTTATCTCACAGACCTTTTGCACATAGCCTCATGTGCCCCACCTGAGATTCACTGTGCAATCTCTCTGAGTTGGTGAACTTCTGGAAATGGTTTTACTACTGCTGTCCTTGGCTCCAGTTTTTACAATGGAGAATGTCCCAGCTGGTCACACCCTGAACTGTGTGACTTTGGGCAGTCATGAGCTTCTCTGGACCTTGTTTTCTTATCCTTGTAAAAGGATTTGCCTGTTTATCAACCAGGATACTTCTGGAGTTTTAGGTGGAACTGTTAGTTATATGTTGTGCCAACCGTCCTGGAAATTGCAGGCTGTGTAGAGTGCTCCCCAGGATTTCTTTTGTCCCTTATTTCCAAGAGTCCTGGGGTGGCATCCCTGATCGAGAACCAGGGACTGGATTAAGTTCTATTAGTGGTAGAAGTCTTACAAAATCCACTCCACTGGCTGTGTGGGAACACTTCCCAGTTCTCCTGGTGAAATGCTAGGGGCACACGAAGGTGAAGGGCAAAAGCACTCGAGAGGTCCAGGATGTTGTAGCCTTTGTTCGCCTGCAGAAATGGCAGAAGCAAAGTGACCTTTTACCTCTTACCCCTGCCTTGATCTTCAGCCTGGTTGAGGCTGCCCAGCAGCAGGAAAATCTAGGTAGAAGAAAAGGTTACAGAGAGCTTGGGTACCAGTGTTGGGGAGCCTAAAGGGGCCCTTGTTGGAGAGAAAGTGATGTGTCCTATGAGACATAGCTTACATTTATGTTTTAGCTCTCCAGAATGAGCCCTGATATTAAACCACCTGGACAGTAATAATGGTCAATGCCCTGTGAGCTAATTATTACTATTATGCCAGTCTTTTTATACCTGCATGCTCTCTGGACTTCACATTAATTCCCCACAACGAGCCTTAAGATAAAAGATGCCCATTTTACAGATAAGGAAATGGAGATTGCCAGTGGCTAAGTAATTTACTCAAAGATGAAAGTCCTAGAGATAGGACTGAAACAGAGGAAGTGTATTTACAGCGTTGGTATTTGGGACAGGATTCCATGGTTGCTTTCATGCTGGTCACCCCACATCTTCTGCTATCCATCACCTCCCCCTACACATTGGCCTGGTGGCCCCATCAGTCATTCTGGTCCCAAAGGCCACCTCTGTCCACCAGAGCCTAGCTGTTCTTCTCATTCACCCACTTGCTCACGTGAAGGTCTTGGTGTGCATGAGCTGTCTTTGGGGGCTGCCTCCCTTTGCCCTCCCTGGTGATGTTTCTCTCCTTTCCCTTGATGCCTGCAGACATCTCAGCCAAGCCCTGGTGGTCAGTCTTCATGCAGCAGCCAACAGTCCCCCATCAGCAGCTATTCCAACAGTGGGCTCGAGCTTCCTCTGACCGACGGAGGTGGTGTTGCAGACCTCAGTGCCATCGATGAAACCCCGATCATGGACTCGACCATTTCCACTGCCACCACAGCCCTTGCTTTGCAAGCCAGGAGGAATCCAGCAGGGACCAAATGGATGGAGCACGTCAAACTAGAAAGGCTGAAACAAGTGAATGGAATGCTTCCGCGACTGAACCCCATTCTACCCCCCAAAGCCCCTGCGGTCTCTCCTCTCATAGGAAATGGTGAGTCTCCATTGGCTCACATGCCTGCTTAGGTTTTTCTCTACTTTCCCATGGGGCCAGAACCTCTCAGAATGTTTCTTAGCTTTTTCATCAATCCTCAGAGTATGCCATAAACCCACCCATTTGAAGTAACTAATGCTAATACTTACCATGCAGGGTGGTAGGGACTCAGAAATACACCTGTGCAAAGTGCATGCAAGACAACTGACGGTGCTCTCAGGGTCAGAGGCAGCAAGGACAAGAGTCCAGCACACCAGGGAGGAGGGCAGGCAGAGAGGCCGCAGCCCAGGGGCCTGACCTGTCAGGTGCGCAGGAGCAGCAGGGCTGAGGGACAGGGAAGGGCAAGTTTACTGCAGACAGGGAAAGGCCCAGCAAGGTAGAATTTTAGACACAGCTCCGGTATCAGACTTGAGATTATAAAACTGGAGACCATTCCTGCATTTGTACCTGAGCCCATGAGGTGGAGAACAAAGAAGGGTTCTGACCCCATTTGAGTTCCTTTCTGGAGGGCTCATATAGGCAACAGAATAGTATTACAACAGAAGACAGTGAATGCCACACACCCTGATAGTGAAATCATCTCCACGGTAGACACATTGTGGTCAGCACCCTGTCTCTGATTTCCAAAATCTAAGACTCAGACATTAGCAGCTGCTTTTAGTTCGCCCAGGTCCAGGGAGAGGCAAGCTTTCTTTCCCATGATCGGCCCCCAGAGATCAGTTTTTGCTTCTGACGTGGCACTGGAGGAGTCAGTGGCCTGGATCACAACACCTGGACCCTATCCTAAAGGTGCTGCTGTCTGCCTCCTGTTCAGAGGCTGTGAAATAAACAGCGCTGACTGTCCATGTGAAACACAGAAACACTCTTGCATAGAACTTAGGCACTGTGTATATGTCCTGAGTCACTTCTGTTGTTCTTGCACTGTGCCAGTGGAGGAGCTTAACTCCATTGAGGGAACAGTTGACTTTGCTTGGCTTAAGCCAAGGATCAGCACTCTACAGCCCAGGGTCCGCATACAGCATGCTGCTTGTTTTTGTAAATAAAATATTACTGCACCCAAACTGCACTCGTTCATTCATTTGCTATTGTCTGTGGCTGCTGGGGCTCGGGAGTGCGGAGCTGCATAGTTGCATCACAGACCACAGAGACCTGGGAAGACAAAAGATGCATCAAAGACCTTGCACACCTGGTTTAAGGCGCCCGTAGGTTCACAACCTCTCTCCCTCTCTTCCCTGCCCACCTCCTCTGCAGGCACACAGTCCAGTAACAACTGCAGTTCGGGTGGGCCCGTGACTCTTCTCCCAAACAGAGGTGACTTCTCCGGGGTGGACCTCACCATGCTGAACACGCTCACCCGGAGGGACAGCAACACCAGCACCATCAGCTCTGCCTACCTGAGCAGCCGCCGCTCCTCGGGCATCTCCCCGTGCTTCTCCAGTCGCAGGTCCAGTGAGGCATCGCAGGCCGAGGGCCGGCCCCAGAATGTGAGTGTGGCTGACTCCTACGACCCCATCTCCACCGACGCCTCCCGCAGGTCCAGCGAGGCCAGCCAGAGTGACGGGCTGCCCAGCCTGCTCAGCCTTACACCTGCCCAGCAGTACCGCCTCAAGGTGAAGTATGCCGCGGCCACCGGAGGGCCACCGCCCACGCCACTGCCACACATGGAGAGGCTGAGCCTAAAGACCAGGATGGCCCTGCTTGGGGACAGCCGGGAGTCCGGGGTGACTTTGCCTCCCGTGCACCCTCCTCGGAGATGCAGTGATGGGGGAGCCCATAGTTATGGCCGGCGCCACTTGCTCCCACATGACGCCCTGGGGAACAGTGTAAGGAGGGCCAGTGACCCAGTGAGGATGGCCTCAGAGAGCCTGCCACCACCCAGGGTCCCGCGCTTCAGCAGCCTCAACAGCTTCAGTCCTCCATCTTCCGAAAAGCGGAACCTGGTGCTGCAGAACTACACTCGGCCTGAGGGCAGCCAGCCCCGTCCCTTCCACATGTCCCCCTGTCCTCCCAGCATCACGGAGAACATCACCCTGGAGTCCCTGACCATGGACGCTGATGCCAACTTGAACGATGAGGATTTCTTGCCTGATGACGTGGTGCAGTATTTAAATTCCCAGAACCAAGCAGGATATGGGCAGCACTTACAGAGTGCCATCTCAGAGGACAGCAAAGGACCCCACGGGCCAGGTGACTTTGACCCATCTGGGCTGCCAGACAGCCACGCTGGCCAACAGTTCCATTCCTTGGAGCAGCCGGGCACGGAGGGCAGCAAAAGCGACCTGCCCATTCAGTGGAACGAAGTGAGCTCGGGAAGTGCAGACCTGCCTTCCTCCAAGCTGAAATGCAGCCAGCGCTCCGCAGTGCAGCAGGCTCGGGCTTTTGGGCTGTACAGCAGCACGGTGGTCCCGCCGCAGAACTCGTGGAGAGCTGGCCCGGGCCCAGCTGGGGGATATCAGGGCCTTGGAGAAAACGGCAGTGCCTACAGTAGTGGCCCAGAGCACCTGGTCCCTGCTGGCCCCAGTGCCAGCCCCAGTGGAAACGCCTTCTACGCACACCCCTATAAGGCGCAGCAGTATGTGAACTGTCTGGCCAGGCAACCAGTGGCTCCTGGGGCACTAGACAGTACCTGCAGCGCTGGGGTTCAAGGGTCCAAGCTGAAGAGTGCCACCATGCAAGGGAATGGGGGTCCCTTGGATTTTGGCATGCCCGTGGCACCAAACGAGTCAGCTGGCATCACAGTGAATGGCATGCAGACCCCAGACCCGCTGGGACAGGGCTGCCTCCCTCACCAGCTCCTTGGGGACAGCGGGCAGCAGCACCAGGGGGCAGGCCGCACCGGGCAGCAGGTGCTCGGGCAGGTCAGTGCTACCTCACACATCAGCTCCTACCAAGGGCCAGAGGGCTGCCTGCCCGGGACCCACGGCGTCAGCTGCCAGCTGTCCAGCCTGGCGGGGGTCAGGGGTTACCAGCCCTGTGCCAGCTATGGGGGCATCCGGCGCCAGGCTGTGCCAAGGGCCAGCCTCACACTGCAGCAAGGACAGCTCAGTGACGCAAGTCAGACCTGCAGGGTGAACGGCATCAAGACAGAGATGCCCGGGCAGCCCGCACAGCTCTGTGCCAATGTGCAGAATTACTCTGGTCAGTTCTATGACCAAACCTTGGGCTTCAGTCCACAAGACACGAAAGCTGGCTCGTTCTCCATGTCCGGTGCCAGCTGCCTGCTACAGGGGGCCGGTGCCGAAAACTCTGAGTTACTATCCCCAGGTGCTAACCAGGTGACAAGTACCGTCGACAGCCTTGACAGCCATGACCTTGAAGGGGTGCAGATTGATTTCGATGCCATCATAGACGATGGGGACCACGCCAGCCTGATGTCAGGGGCCCTGAGCCCAAGTATCATTCAGAACCTTTCCCATAGCTCCTCCCGCCTCACCACACCACGAGCCTCCCTCCCTTTCCCAGCCCTTTCTGTGAGCACCACCAACATGGCGATTGGGGACATGAGCTCTTTGCTGACCTCCCTTGCAGAAGAAAGCAAATTCCTTGCAGTCATACAATAGGCATTAGGCGAGAAGGACTGCGAACAGATGTAAAACCTTAGGAGTTGAACGACTGAACTGACTCCGTTTTGGCTGGATGGGTTGGTTGTTTTGTTTTGTTTTTTGCTTTTTTTTTTTAGTTCTGTATGTATTTTAGCAATCTCATCTCACCTAACTGGGATGTGTTTCAAGTATATTCCTTTTATGGAAAAGGACTCTGAAAACCCCTAAGGTATTCTAGGGAGAAACTGTCTTCCATTTCAGTTTTGAATCAGTATTGTTACACTAAAACCACCCTCTTCTCTTTTTTTTAACTGTAAGCCCACCTTTTTTTTTCTTTTAGTAAACCTATGTAAATGTGTGATGTGCAGGTTCTTTCTTTGAGAAGAGAGGTCAAACTTGAAAGGGTTGGACACGTTTCTCTAATATTCCAAGGAAGTAGGAGTTGGTGTGCTTTTGACCACAAGGTTACATGTTCAGACTTTTTGTAATTTTCCTTTACATATGTTCAGTGTTTTGTGTGCTTGTGTGTGTGTGTGTGTGGTGTGTGTGTGTAATTCCCACATTGGGCACAAGAATCAGAATATGGAGAGTGAGTTTGATAATCGTTTCAGGGTGCATGACAGATTTGTATATGCTCCCAACTCTAATGTAATTCAGGGTATACTCTCCCCAGAGGCACAGAAGTGGACAGCTGGGGCTCTTGCAAATGAAATCCTTAGCTCCCTCTTTGTGTTTCCAATTCTTCATGTCCGTAAATGTGCTTTGAGTGGGCTCGTCTATGTGGTCAGTTCTCAGTTATCTCTTTTCCTTCACGCTGTACCTTGATGAATATTCTGTGCTGCTGAGCATTGTGGTGAGAGGGAAACAGGCAGTTGGTGACACTCAGGCACATTGCTGCTTTTATCTGTTCTACTAAGAAGTTTGATAGGTGGTGGATTGAAGCAATTGGGTAGAATTAGTTTGGGGAATATTTGAGGGTTAGCTGTATTGATTTGTTTCATCTCTTTCCCACTGTCATAGGTAACTGAGAATTGGCTATCTATAGTTCTATGTATATAGGTATTTAAACAACCCCACAATTGGCTATACGTTAACAGTGATTAATTCCACTGTAGTGAAGGAGTCTGTCTATTCTAAGTGCCCTATTTTAAGGGATTTTTAAAACTTAATTGTAAAAGAAAAAGCTCCCATATTGAGAATAAATTGGCTCAACCAGTTTTAGCATTTGAGAGCAGGCAGGCAGGCAGGATGGAAGGAAGGAAGGCAGGAAGGCAGGAAGGCAGGCAGGCAGACAGGCAGACAGGCAGGCAGGCATTTAGTAGCTGTGTGGGTACCATTGTTCACATTCTATCCACTGAGCACTGCATTCGTTTAGAAGTTCAATGTTATACACAGTCCTTCGTTTGGACTGGTATCTGTGCTTCTGTTTTGGGTTAAAACGTTTAAAGATTTAAGACGTATATCTACTTCCCATGTGCATTTGAAACACATAAAAGCCATACTATGCGTGCACAAAAAGCACATGGATTTTCCAGCACATTACTTTAAAAATGTGTATACTATTAAAGTATTAATACTTCAACTGCCTGCAGTATTCTGTTCCTGTCAGTCCTTGGAGTTGGATTTACCCAAAGTGATTCATGATCCAATTGTTTGGCTTTTCCCCCATTAATTCTTGCCATTGAAATTACCAGTAGACGAAATTCAAGTAAAAGAAAGTGTTATACAAAGATTCCTAGCAGCAGCCCATTTTGCACATGTTTACTTTCTCCAATTTGAGCCAAGAATCATGGCATGGAGATAAAATTGCCACACAGGGCCCTGTGGCTAAGACTGTAAGAATCACTGTCAACTCTGTGCTCCTGGCTCCAGCAGTTATGCTATGAATCCTCCTCCACACCCTGCTGTCTTCCCTAGGGAGCCCCATCTAAGTCAGAGGATGTACCCCATTTGGAACAGTCCACAAACAAAAGGCAGCCCCTCATCTGAGCTCAGGAGAGCAGACTCTCTACCACTTTTCAGCTAAAAAGCAAGACTTTTGGTCTCTTCCTCAGAACAGGTCACCTTCCCTTCGGAGTATTAGTGCTGCATTTCCTGAGTCTCATGGTCCCATGAATCTCAATGTCTTGGCCCTCACATGCTGTTTGGGTTTGGCCCAAGTTCTTTCCTACCCTTGGTTTTTTTCCCCTTTGCTTTTAGAGTATTCTCTGGGTTTACCTCTTCCTTTCATTTTTCTTCCTTTTCCTTGTGGCTGCCCTTTGAATCACAGGAGACACTTTGCAGCTGGATACTTGTCTTTTCTCCATATGGACATTTCAGAAGGAAGCAAGAAAGGAGGGAAGGAAGAAGAAAGTGGACTTCCCAGGGATTTCAGTGATCTGTGTGACCATGTAATGGAAGGAAAGTCTTTGGAGGTCACTTAGAAGTATCCATGGGGACACGGAACCTCCATCCACCTGCTGTCTCCTATCATGAGACCCAGCCACTGCCTCCACCCTTTTTTCCAGTTCTCTGACCTATGCATTTAGGAAACTGCATAGCACTGATTCACTAATGTCACTGTTTTCTCTTTAGTAAGAGATGCAGGCTCATACATGGTACTGTTGTTTAACATCTGTGTTAAACTCATTTTTATCTTTGCAGCCATTTTTTTATTTTTATAAGGAATGAATGAGACCACCCCCTGCTCCTCACACATTGGCTCACCCTCTTGAGCCACCGAGTTTTGATTCTTGCAATATATGTGCCTTATTTTATGTTAATCTTGTCAATGAGCGGGACCGGTTGGTGTCACCCAGCCAACATTTCTAGGCCATGTGCTCAGTGTCTGGCAAGGGAAGGGAGATCGTGCAGGATCGGAGCCATCTGAGCTGTCTCGTATCCTGGTTTCCTGTGTTCCTTTGAAGTGATAGGAGGATGTTCTTTTCTGACAAGTTGCCCTTGTGTATCCTGCAAATGTGTAAGATAAAATGCAAGTTCATTTTTTTTTCACCTTTTTTAGATTTTTAAAAAAATAAAAAGTGTAATCCTTTTTAAAAAGAAACACATGTAAATACATTTAAGTATTGTAGGCATAGTGTTCAGATGTGACCAGTCCGGGCCTTCCTCCGAGAAGCCTGCAGCCCCCGATGCTGTGCACCCAGCTCCAGCCCGGGGAGCTGCAGCCCAGACACAGGTGAACTTGACCTTGGCTTTCAGAACCACTTAGTCCTTTTGTAACAAAGAAGAAAGAAAAACAATGTTTCTTACAATGTCAATAAAAATTCTTTGTACTGAAATTTCTCTTGGATTGTGCATTTAATTCATAGCTGGATAGAAAAAGCATTTTCTTTAGGAAAATCCAGGGCCCATGCTTGGATCCACAGTCCGCCTCATGCAGGCTAAGGGTGTTGCCCTGAAACCTGGATTCCACCTCTCTCGGGTGGAGACTTAGCTGCCAGGACATAGCACTTGGGATGTGAGAATGCATCTCACGCATACAAGAGGTGGGTGCTATTGTAATCATTATCATCTGTCTTTTTGGTTTTGTCTTGGGGTTGCTTTTTATTATTTTCACTTTTGGGGAGGGCAGTAGAGAGGACCGAACTCAGTGTTTTTTGCACATTAGTGCTGAACTACTGAACGGTACTCTTAGTGTTTCCTCTTTTTGTCTCTATCTCTGTCCCCCTCTCCTTCTGTCTCTGTCTGTCTGTCTCTCAATCTGTCTCTGTCTCTTTGTCTCTGTGTCTCTGTCTCTGTCTCTCTCTCCAGGGTCTTCCCATGTTGCTCAGGTGGCCTTGATCTCATCAGGTGGATGCTAGGTCGGCCTCAGTCTTAGTGATACCCCTTCCTCAGCATCCTGAGTACTAGAGTTCACAAATGTGTGCAACCACACCTGGATCCAAGTACCATCTTATTTTCATTGCTTTTCCAAACTAATGAGAAGAGCAGTTATAGAGTTCAACATCTAGCAACCTAACTTGTCCTTTCATGTATCTTACCCTGTCACTTTAGAGATACCTTAGCACACTAAAAGAAAACATTGGCATGATAAAGACCTACTTTGATGTGGTGTTTAATGCCCAACCACCTTACCTCAGAAATACTAGTTATTTGCTTTGTTTGCCTGTCTGTATACTGGTCAGTTTTCCCATTGCTTGACACAATACCAAACACTTCCACCATAAAGGAGAGGTTCAATTTGGTTCATGGTTGCAGGTGATTCAGTCCATGGCTCCAAGGCAGAAACATGGCAGAAGGGCATGGTAGAGCAAAGAAGCTTAGTTCATGGTGCCCAGGAGGTAGAGTAGTCCAGGAGAGGAAGGAGTAAGGGACCAGACATAGACCTTAAGATCACACTTCTGTGACCTACTCAGACACACCAAGGAGCATGCTTTACTAACCTGCTCAGTATTTCTTAATCCAATGATGTTAACATGTCAGAATTAAGTGTCATTCCATCACCTGGCAGTGTTATTCTTTAGATGATAAATGATTTCAGAAAGGGTTCTTTTCTTTCCTCTTTGCCAGCCACATCTTTGTAATGACCATCTTAGGAAGATGTTATGACTGAGAAGGATGAGAATGCAGGCTTTGGGCATGTCAAAGTCACGGGAGGTGGGGCCCTTGTGAAGGAGCACAAATGCACATGCCCACACATGTGCAAGCACACAGATACACCACCCTCATCTTCTGGGGGCCTTGTGTCCTGTGCGTGACAAATGCAGGGGGTTTCTCCAGTCCTCTGAATGCTTCATACTCTCCTGACTCGTGGGAAAGAATTTCCTCCCATCCATTCAGAACGCTTTGCTTTCACACCGTGATCCCTCATGCAAGGTGTCTACATGAATTCAGAAAACAGAAAATAGGAATTTATATCCTGCTTCAAGTATAAATTGTCAGTTCCCAAAGATGCCTGTCATATGGCATGTCAAACTAAAAGAAATCAAGAGAAATGAGGCTAATAAAAACAAAAGAATAAAGGATGCCCCCAGGAGTGAGACATAGAATGTAGATGCCTTTAATCCCGGTGAGCTGGTGGTGGGGATAGCTCACGGCTTTGCTTTAGAAAGTGCCTCCTGTGGAGGAAATGGGAAAAGAAACAGTCTGAGGTAAAATAAGGAAGCTACAGTTTATTTGGTAGTTCATAAAAACTATTTTTAGTAATTTGCATAATTTAAAAACATTACTCAAGAATATAATAGAGTGCTAAAATGACCTACTACTAAATATTCCTCTTTTGCCTTCCAAGATGATTGACTGATCAACTGGAGTTTCCCCCCTAACTCCAAACATAACTTGGGCTCATCTTTTCTTTAGTATTAGTTTTATTTTTCCAAATTCAATTTTACATAGACCTTGCTTATGCCCTATCTAGGTCATCAAACTCTTTAACAGTTTTTAGAAATAATAGTAAAATCTAAATTGCTTTGTTTTCTTTCCAACATTTTGTGGCCACAGGCATTAGCTTGTAGTCATTCAACAGAAGTATGGGATCTCAGGTCTTACAGATTTTCTCCACTGTCTCTGACTCCACTTCCTACACCTCCCCACCACTAAGTTAGTAGTAGGTTGTGATGATTTCTGCCCTCAGAGAACTTGCAATATCGGGGCTGTGGAACAAATAGTGCTGGTAAGACCCCTTAATTCAACCATTCTGCCACATCATATCCCATTCACAAACCTTTATAACTACTGAAGCAGAAGATGAACAAAACACAGACTGCCCATTAGCTCCCACTGAGACAGACACACATGCAGACACAAAGGTGGTGGAATGCAGTGACGGGATGTTCAAGGCAGAGTTCAGCTCTAGACACTTCTGTGAAAAGCACTTGCAGGGACCCCTAGACTTGTTAGTACTGGCATTTTAGGGTAGGTGATTTTTTGTTTAGGGCACTATTGTCCATAATCCAGGACAGTCAGTGGGGTGGTGGTGTTCTGAATCCGTGTTCTATAGATGACTGGCATCTGTCCAGGTTACGATGCCCAAAATATCTCCAGCTACTGCTGAATGTCTTATAGGGAAAATTCACTGAATTGCAAACTCCACTTTATGGAATAGAAACACACAGATGTACTGCAGGCGGGGACCCAGGGAGGGCCTCCAGACTTGGGAAGCTTTGGTCTGTGGGTGGTAGAGAAAGACAAGAGTATCATTGCCAGACATAGGAGTAGCACAGCAAGAGGGCTGGGGAACACCAGGCTCCGGGATCAACAGAGAGGCAGTGCACACTGAAAAAGATGAGTGAGGAGGAGAAGAAAAAGGTAAGTAAGGAGGGGAGTATGAATTTAGTGGCAAGCAGCCTGCCACAGTTCATAGCACCCAATATGCCAGCCCTAGTTAGACACAAGTTGGTCCTTCCTGCTCCACTACAAAGAAAAAGCCTGCCAGTGAAATCATGGCATGATGCTTTTCTTTTCCAGAAGACACATCATAACTGCAGTAGTCACCAGCGTAGGGAAATGTGAGCCTCAGAGGGGGTGACATACCCAAAGAGAAGAGGTCAGGGACGGGGAGAGGTAGAAAGGTGGAATTTTTCTTAATGGTGTTTGCCTCCTCCCCCTACTCTGCCTGTTTCTCTTTCTTTTCTCTTCATCTTCCTCCTCCTCTTTCTTTTTCCCCTCCCCTTCCTCTTCACCTTTGCCTCCATTTCCTTTTCCTTTTTGCCCTCTTCTTTTTCTTTCTGTCCTCTTTCCCTTCCCTCTCCCTCCCCACAGTGTGTTCCAAGGACTTGACTGTGTTACTCAGCCAGTAGGGAAGGAGGAAAGGCTGCTGTTGCAGTGCTCAGAGGGGCGCAGGAACTCTCTGGACTCATGAATCAGAACACCTGGGAGGTGAGGGCAGGGAGCAGAGACCAGGACAGGTGTGGGTGTGTAGAACAGGAGCAGGTCATGCAATTGAGAGACTGCCAGGGCGACATAGACCTATGAGGACAGAGCAGAAGGAGTGCAGGACAGAGACTACAGAGGACACACGGTGCTAACCCCATGCTTCCTCAGCTGGGCGCCTGTAGAGGAGGAGCTGACCATGAGTGGGGTTCCCTCACCACCAGCAATGAACACGGCAAGTACACAAGAAACTGTGCATGGAAGTGCTAGTAAACCCTGTCTAAAGGCTATTATTATATACATTTTTACATTCCAGAAAGACAATAATAAATCCACTGTCTGGGTCCTTCCGCTCCCTTCCCCCATCTGTGGGGGCTGAGCTCACGCTTGCCTCTTCCTCCCACATCCTTTCTCCTCCTTGAGGCTTCCCCAGCTGTGGCTGAGCAGTTCTGCATACCTGAAGGGGCAGTGTTCCTGTGCTCCTTCCTTTCCTGCAGCCTCCCCTCAGCACTGAGAACTTCCGGTTCAGCTAATCATTGACCCAGATGGCACAAAGGAGTCTTGTGTAGGATGCTGGTTTTCCCGAGCTGCTTGTCTCTCAGGGCCACTTTGTCATTGCTTTATCTAAAGAAAGGTTCTCAAACTGGAGACAGTGACTACCTGATCACACCCTGCTTTGGTAACAGCTTGAGCCTTGGGATGACAGTGGGGAAAGGGGCATCCCAGCAATTATGTCCATCTTGGTTCCAGAGGCTAGAGCTACTGAAATAAATACAAATATAAGGGGCAATCAAAAAAAAACAGTATGTATTTAAATAACAAAGTTATTTCAGTAAAAGACAGGTTGCCGTGAAGTCCCCCAAACTGCTCCCTTCCTGTGTAAACACACTTACCCCACAATTTTTTTTTTTTTTTTGCCATTTTCAAAAGTGGTTCTGGAAGTCCTCTTTCACGAGTGTCTTTATGTGATCAAAACTTTGGTGAATGCTGCCAATGCCATCCACAGAAAGCTTCGAAAAAACCTGACAGTGTGTCCTCATTATTCACTGGCACCGTCCAACTTCTGGCTCTTCTCCAAAGTCCAAATGACCATGAAAGGTTGAAGTTTTGAATGGATTCAGGAAATGGAGACAGCAGCCAGGGTAGCACAAGTAAAGATTCTCATGAACAAATGCTTCCAGAACTGCTTGAGAAAGTGGCAGAAGGGCGGGATAAGTATGTCTGAAGCAAGGAGGTATAGTTTGATGGGGACTAATGGCAATGTGGCTTTTTTTTCTGTAATTTTTTGTCTTTTTATTTAAACACAGTATTTCCAATCACCTCTTGCATGCACTTGGTTGCATTTATGAACCAGGCCATCACTCTTGGCATTTTGCTAATGCCCTGCCTGACAGCTGATGGGCTTATATAACAGAGGGTTACCTTCTCTGGGGCCATGCGGAAGGAGAGCCGGGAGAGGAGCAGTGGG